CCGGATTTACATGACGTAGCACCATCCCATTTAGAAGCGGTTTAGAAAACAAGGTGCCAAAATGCCATGGAACTGGGGCCTGCTTAAATGGTCCTTTATGAGGCTAGAAGAAAGAGGGACGGTGCCTCTACGCTGTGTAAATCCGTCAATCGCAAAATCTTTTATGGTGTGCTTTCGTTCGTATCATTTTAATTTGAAATGCAGTTTAGCTACGTTATGCAACTTTTGGCACTTAGACAGTACGGTGAGATTTCTATTTATTCGTAGCAAGCCGCTACTGGATGCGATATGCACAAAATCCGTCGAAAGCTTGCGAATGAACAAATCAGTATCAATGCAGAGACGCAGTACAGAACAACTTCAATCGCAGACAACGGCTACATACGATGTACAAAGGGTGTAGAATTTCGCGTGAGGGTCAGCTTTGTTCACTGAAAGCACGCACCTCGAAACCGAGGCCAGAAACGTCGATCGATCGCTTCACTGCTTTCGCGCCACGATCACTGAAGCGACGTACAGGACGGCGTTAATGGCGCATATTACCTAAATGATGACGTGTACTGCAGACGCAGTGCTTGAGCCAGCGCGCTTGCTTGCACTTACACACACGGCCAGTAGTCTGTTTTGCCAGTGGATAAACAGCGAGCCGTCAGGAAACGAGTACTGATGATGACCGGTGTTGTTCTCGAACTGCATCACGCAATCGTAGCAGGACAACACCCAGGCGACCAGGTACAGAAGCACGAACAGACTGCTCGCCCCGATGTCCTGAAATGCAGCAGAACTTCCAAGCGTTGAAACTGAAACAGATGCATTAGGATGTTACCATTTTTCGAAACGGAAGATCGTTGATGGTAGCATGATGTGGGGCACAGAAATAGATGAGAAGTAAGAGCAGAGTGGTGACGGCGCCGCTGGCAACGACAAACAATATGTAGGAATATCCGTACCACACGTGCGCTATTGGCTGATTTAGAAGAATCACCACCAGCGAAAATCCCTATAAATGCATACCTTTGTTAGGATTTATACTTACGGTTATGACATGGCAAACGTATAAATCTTTCGAACAATAATTTTTGATCTACATGGTCTTCAAGGGGTTTACTCCGCATATAAATTTTATTACATAACATACCAACATTTCGGATCCAGTTGGACCCATCTTCAGGGGACATAATTCCCAGTAGTAAATGACAAACAACACTTGTGTACTCCTGTACAATTTGCTTTAATTTAACCTTAATCCGATTGAAGCTAAATTTAACAACTGTTAATTTTGAAGTACTGCAAATGCTAGGCTTTTCGAGAAACAACCTAACAAGTCATTTGTAAATTTATTTCTTCGTTCATTTATTAAATTGGTTTAACTATGCTGTGCATTTTATTATGCTTACAATCCATCCCGTAAATTACCCGTGCAAACATTAAGGCATCATTAGTAGATGATGGAACGTAATGGAAACCAAAACATGACGTACATAAGGTGCGACCTTGTGATAATTACTTTTGTCGGTAAAGATAAGGTAAGGTAAAAAATTCAAAGTTTCGAACTCAAAAGCAGCTGTCAGAAACAACCGAGGAAATGTAAAGTAGTCCCATTCCAAGTGATCTCAAGTATAATTCATTGCGCTTCGAAATGGGCAAGCCAGTTCCTCGGTGATTGTTTACTCCATGGACTGTTCGAGATGTGACGGGAGCGCAGTTTTTTTCCGATGAAGGCTCCGTATGTAACTGCCGTCTTCGATTCAATGTATTCAACAGCCCAATGCTGGGTGTTTTTTCTTGAGGTGAATTATGCAGCTTTTAATTGATAATATTCAATCATATTAAGAATCACAACGCCATGGCCAAATTTCACCGCGTATTGCATCGCCTCCTTGCTATTAGTTGCCAAGAGGCATTTGAACGGGCCACTGCTCCACTGTATTTGGACACTTGTGCTGCCAGATATATCTCGCATCATTTTTTCCCGTAATGTTCATGCATTCCTGCGGCACGATCTAGTTCGCCGTTGCCATACGTCTATGAACTGGACGAAAATTGGGACGTATTCACGTTAAATCCGTAGCCAGTGTGAACGTTGCGTTCAAAACCGACACAACAGTTCACAGTCGCCTCAGCCGCCTGAAGACCAAGTGACCAGATAAACGGAAGTAAGGCTGTACTTACTCCCCTGATCATCAGGTTCAGTGAAGGTAGGCTAATCAAGCAACCCCTTTAAGGAAAGAAAGAATCCTCCTTAGACAGAATAACGTAGATGTCAGAGAAACAGGTCTCATGCAAAT